GAAAGTTGGGGCTCAGTATTCTGTGCTTCCCTTGACACCTGATCAAATCAGAGGGGAACTGATCTCCTCCCTCTCTGCTGATCAGGTCCCCAGCCAAACACCTTCCTGATCATTGAGGACCACAGGCTCTCGCTTATCTCCAAGTTCTCTGCCAGCCTATAGAATTCTTTAAACTGCCAGGTACACCCTCCTGCGACATGGGGCATTACCTCCTGCAGGTCCTGGCCATTCACACTGTTTCTAAGTGCAAGTCCTGTATGGCAATTCATGGTGTACAGTGTCCGTCTCTGGATTCTGAGTATTTGTGACCAATAAACAACTGCTGATCTCATCTGTCCAGTGTTGAGTGTTATCTGTTTATCCTGATCCCTGATCCCTGGCACAGGAACTTTTCCCTCATCAACAGGTGGTCCAAATAAGATGGGAGCCTGGCAGCTATGCACAAGTTCTGCACACTGTCCTTGGCTTTCTTCTTCCACATGGGACCAGTGAGATCAGTCTAGCAGAAGACTGACGATCTGCCCTGGAAACTGTGGAGAACACTGTGCATGGAGTCAGGAGACCTAAGAGGCACAGGCTAGCTGGGCTCCAAAGCATTGTCTGACTTCTGACAAATCATTTCCCTCCTTGGGCCTCACGGTCCAGCTGTAAAATGATGGGGCCAATCTGCCAACCTCTGTGATTCTACAAGGACATTCTGATGAAACCAGTGAATTAAGAAGAGCAGATGGCTGGCAAGCACCTTGGTTGTCCTAAAAAGAAACATGCATTTTTAGAGGAGTTTGTATCCCCATGTGTCGCTAGCTGGGGCAACAGGAGATAGTGGGAGAAGAGAGGTCTAAGGGACCAAGAGGGAAGCCAGTCTGGCAGGAAATCTTGCCTTTGCTGGATTCCTTCCTGCTTTCAGCACTTGGACTGTCCATTAGTAAGTGGAAGTTTAAACGTCCTACCCTTCTCCATCCACTGTCTCCTCCCAGACTCTGAATTGTTGATTTTGAGCCTTTAATTCCATCCACAGGAGATCTTGCTCTAGCAGACACACAAATGCACACACTTGATAGACCATGCTTCCCTCTCCTTCCTGAAGGCAAAGTGCCTGGGGACCCAGAAAGTAGGCCAGGTCCTCTAAAGTAGCACAGCTAGGCCTTCCGCCCAGCAACACTCACAGACAGGGCTGCAGAGTGGGAGATAGAGCATCCAGGACCTGGGCCAACCAGAATCTTGATGACACCTTCTGCAGCTAAGGGGCCTCTCGGTGTCCCAGCTCCAGCCTCTAACTCTGTGTGTGAGAGAGAGGGGGAGGGGGTTGAGGGTAAGTTGGGTCCTAAGCTAAAGCAATTATGTTCTGATAAGAAAGATTCCTGGACTGAGAGCAGGAAAGAACACAGTGCAGTGGAGAGACAGAGAAGAAACCAGTGGATCTAACACGCAGCAAGATGAATGGGAAAGACAAGTAGACAGTGGAAGTCAGAAGCCCAGGGCCTTAAAATTGCTCTAGGAACAATGGGAAGCCAGGTGGGCTCATTGGTGAAGACGATGGTCTTTAGACCACCTGTATTCCTCAGTCCCCAGATCCTGGAGGGGAGAGTGTGGAGTACATTCAGTGCTAGAGTAGGGAGGTGCTAGGCAGCCAGGGGCAGCTTCCTTTCCATAAAACACCCCAGAAGCTTTCATGGTTTATAGGAGTGAGTTCCATCTTTGGACTGGACCATCCACAAGACTCATTCCAGACAGAATTTTCCATCTCTCTGAGTGCTGGGAGACCACCTAGCCCTTCAAGGGAGAGAGAGAAGTAAAACTCCACTTGCCAGCCAGGGGATGACATCCAGCAGGGCCTTTACAATATTGGAAATTGCAGAGACAGTGTCAGGGCTGACTTCTGCAAAGAAATGGGAGAATGGGCAGGCGAATGGCTGGGAAGCAGGGTCAGCCCACAGGAGGTTCCAATCAGAATTCACGGAGACCAATCAAATAATCAAATAAACCTTTGTTAAAAAAAAAAATCACTGCATCTGACAGACAAACCATCAGCACCAACTGGTATTAAAAAAAAAAAAAAAAGACTCGTGGTGACCTCAGACTGGAAGGGTAGAAGGGGAACCCTAGGGAAAGGGACAGTGAGTCTCACCCAGCTTGTTCCCTTCCGTTGGTCATCTCTGCCCCTTTCCTGGTTCCTCTCTTTCCTCTCCCACTGGTCTGCAAGCCATTCAAGCACTGAGGGCTTGGGTTCCAAGGCCAGCTCTCCACTTGCCAGCATGAAGTGGGATGGGAGTGGGATGGGATGAGGGGAATATGGAGTAATGTAACCCTGGATGTAATGTGCTCAACCCAATGCTTGATAGAAAGCTGGCATGTTCCTTCCCTTGTCTGAAGACCAAACAGTACTCTTGAAAATGAGAAGAACCTTCTAGCTGGCTGCGTCAAGAGGTGCCAGAAGACCCCCACCGGCAGGAAACATCTGGGAGTTTCCCTGCCAGGGCTAGGTGCTCTGGAATACATGGGAGGGGGGCAGCTGAGGACCAGGAAAAGACCAGGTGTGTGCAACCCCTGCCTTGATTCCAGAGGGCTGCTCCAATATGGAAAATACCCACCCGGCTTCCTTTTGAGAAAGAGCGGGATGTTCCGACGCCAAAGCCTCTCATGGAGGTTCTGGGGGAGGAGGGCTCCAGCCCAGAAAGAAGCGCGGAAGCGTGGAGGGCGGGCATCCCTCCTGCACTCTGACTCTGCTTTTCCACAGATTTCTGAAGACTTGGTGAGAAGAAAGGGGTACAGCCCTAAAAAGACAGCGGTTATTGCGGGGTCTGGAGAGGAGACAGCTTTTCTTTAGGCTGCCCCATCCTGATCTTGGGGGTCCCAAAGCCTCCAGTCCCTGGCCAGACCAACCAGGCCCTGGACTGAAGTCCCCCTTCAGTGGCAGCCTCCTCCCTCCGGTTCCCCGCGCCACCCCCTTCATCCCGTCCCCTCAGCCTCTGATTGGCTGAGCCCCAGGGCCCTCCCCGCTCCCGCTCTCCCCCACCCCTGGTGAAAACTGCGGGCTCCGCGCTGGGTGCAGCAACTGGAGGCGGCTGCACGTCGGGCTGAGCCGCAGTAGCCGAGGACCCGCGCCCAGGTGAGAGCAGGGTCCCTGCGGGACCCGGGACGCAGCGATCGCGGTACAAGGCTTCCCAACCCGCGGCTCCTCGAAACCGTCCGGGGCACCCGGGGACCAAGGCGCGCAGCTGGGGGAGGGACCTGCTTCCCGCCTCCAACCCCGAGGCGGGGGTGAGACTGCAGCTCAGGGGCCGCGCCACACCCCGCCTGCCACGGAAGGCTCGCGGGCCCTCGCCCCCCGGAGGACGGTTGTCTGGGGCTGGGACGCTGGAGGAGAACGAGGAGGGAGGACGCTAAGGACGGCCTTTGGTTCTGCTCTCCACCCAGAGGGTCGGGAGGGGGCGAAAATAGGGGGAAATGAGGGAGATGCCAAACTGGAGGGGATCTCCGCCCGGTGACCTCGCGCGGACTGGGTGCAGGGCACCCGCACCCAAGTAGGGAAACCGCAGTGCCACGGGAGGGCACTGGGTGGAAGGCGGGCAGACGGGGGAGGGGATAACTGAAAAGGATGAGAGCGGGGGCAGGGGAACCTCAATTGGGAAAGGAGAGGATTGAAATACGAAAATGGAATAAGGGTGGGGCTGGCCGAGCGCGGGCTAGCGAGGGAGGCCGCTCAGAGCTTCAGCTCTGGACTGCGGGAGCTCGGGGCAGAGGAAATAAATAGCCTGGCGTCCTCCAGCGCGCACTACCTCTCCATCTCGCTCTACCTGCTTCGGCAGGCCCTACCCAACCCCTCCCTTTCGCGCTCTGGCTGCCGATCCCCCTTCCTCTCCTTGGATCCCTAGCCTGCACCCCTCCTCCATAACACAGCGTCCTCGAATCAAAGCCGGATGCCAACCCCCTTTCTCCGCCTCAGCGTCTCGGGTTCCGGCTTAGAGCAGCAGCTCCATCCTCGATCCAGAGGACATTCACTGTAGTTGCACAGCCGTGAGACCCTAGCCTCCCCATCTGAAGGCTGGACACCGGGAATCGCGCACCCTGGAGCACTCCACCAAGGCCCGGCCCGCGCGCTCTCGAAATCGCGCGCCTCTCCTGCAGAGCACTGCCGAGGATGGGTTAAACTACCTCCTTGGTGGCACCAAGATGTTGGTCCAGTCTAGGCCTGTGGTGGAGGGGGAGGGCAGACAGCAGAGAGCCTAAGCAGGGCGTTATGGAAGCTAGACGGGAAAACTGCAGCTCTAGAATCCCAGAGAACTGGACATTTAGAACCATCTATGGCTTTTGTGTACTCTGAGTGCTGCCACCTTCCCTCACACACATCGGTGTCTAGTACAGGCCTAGCTGGGACCACCTTAGCCTACACCCCTGACATCATCCCTAGCCATTAACCTTTGCATCAGTCACTGTGGAGGAGTCATGGTACCAGATGGTTGTCATTTTTCTTTTTTTGTGTGTGTGTACAATGAGACATTTACAAAAGTTCTTACAATATATCATAGTTGAATTCACTCCCTCCATCATTCTCCTTTACCCCCCCCACCCCGATGTCATTTCTCTTAATCCCACCACAATCCCATTGGTATCTAAGGTTCAAAAAGCCTCATTCATTCACTTATTCACTTAATAAATATCTTTTTTGTTTTTTACTAGCACTCTGGAGGCTGATGCAGGAGGATCTTGAGTTTGAGGTCATCCTGGGCTACACAGAGAGATCCTGTCTCAAACATATATTTTTTGAGACATATATATATATATATATATATATATATATATATATATTCCCCTAGGCTTTGGGGATATTCTTCTGAACAATAGGAAGTTCCTGAGTGAGGAGTTTTTCTTTAATTGGTATAAAGTTTCCATTTTGAAAGATAAACCAAGTGTGGTGGCTCACACCTGTAATCCCAGCACTTGGGAGCCTGAGGCAAGAGGATCCCAAGTTTGAGAACAACCGGGGTTACATAGGGAGTTCTAGGCCAGCCAAGCTCCAGACTGAAAACAAACAGATAAAAAGAGCTCTGCAGATTGGCCATAGGACATTGGAAATGTACGTTAACACTACTGAGCTGCACACTTATAAATGATTGAGACGGTGTTAGGTGTATTTTATCTACTTAGCGATCCTGGCCCTCATAAGTCTTAAATTCCTGAGAAGGGGATAGCGTTACTTAAGTCACCAAGCTGGGAAGAACTGCATGGCCACACACACACACACCATTCCAAGTGTGTTCTCTCCTCCCTTGTTTTCCCTGAGTGGCAGAGTCACTTCAAAGAGAAGTGGGAAGGGGAGGGAAGATGGAGGGAGGGACTTAGATGTCTGTAATGTTCCCCAAGCCCTGGTGGTAAGTGTGGGTACACCTGTCCCATCTCTTGACTGGTTCCCGCCTGTTCCCACCCCAGATCCAGGACGGAGCTCTTGACACCATGAACCCAGCCATCGGCATTGCTCTCCTGCTGGCAGGTATGGGCAGGGGCAGGGCTGGCATTCTGGACACTTGGCTCCCTTCCCTTCAGGGAAACAGCCTCTTTCTCACAGCCTCAGAAGTGCAGGTGACCAAGGTCAGCTACTCAGCCTGGCTGATCTTCAGCTTTAGTCCCTGAGCCCCACCCCATGCTAATGACTTAGAAGTCCCTAATGGGAGCCAAAAACCCTCTCCATCTCCTGCCCTTAAAACCCACTCCTGGAACACAGGGCTCCAGCAGACTAGGGAGGGAGGCTGGGATCCGCAGGCAGGGAGGGACCATCCCTCTGGGACCCCTAGGCAGGAGGAGGCACTCAGAGAGCAGACCCCATTCCAGGCCCAAGTCTACTCTTCCCATGGGTGGGAGGCCCCTGCCCCGAAGGCTCTTTCCCAATTTGGAGGAGGCACTGCTGGTGCCAGTCTTGCAGGTATCCCAGGGGCAGAAGGTGACCAGCCTGACAGCCTGCCTGGTGGACCAGAGCCTTCGTCTGGACTGCCACCATGATAATACCACGAGCACACCCGTCCAGTATGAGTTCAGCCTGACCCGTGAGAAAAAGAAGCATGTACTTTATGGCACTGTCGGGGTGCCCGAGCACTCCTACCGCTCCCGGACCAACTTCACCAACAAGTACAACATCAAGGTCCTCTACTTAGCTAACTTCACCAACAAGGACGAGGGAACCTATACCTGTGAACTCCGCCTCTCTGGCCAGCCTCCCATGGTCTCCAATCAGAATGTCTCTGTGCTCAGAGGTGAGGCCAAATCCCCAACAAGGCCAAAAGGGCTGTGAGAGCTAGAGTGGGGAAGAACAGTCTGCAAGGACATCAAGCAGTTCTTAGTGGGCCAGAGAGGACGGGGAGGCCCCATACCCTCCCCCAACTGCTGCCTGGTCCCCTGGGATACTAGTGCTGTCTGTGTGAGTGGGGGAAGGGCTGCGGGCCAGACAGGCAGAGCCATGTGGTAGGCTTCCCCAATCCTTTTCCCCAGCGGAAAACAGGGATGGCACCGCCTCGAACACCCGAAATGTTTTTATGGTAATGTGTAGTAAGCTGTTCAGCAATCTGCAAATGAGAAAGATGGTCAATTCTGTCAGACCAGGTTGGTCCAGCCAGCACAGTATCGCACCAATTCCCTGAAAGGAATACACCCTTTCTTTGGGCCTAGCCCTGCCAGAGTCCTAATTCCTCCCCTTGCCTTTTTCTCTTCCCACAGACAAGCTGGTCAAGTGTGAGGGCGTAAACCTGCTGGCTCAGAATACTTCGTGGCTGCTGCTGCTCCTGCTTTCACTCTCCCTCCTTCAAGCCACGGATTTCATTTCCCTGTGACTGGCTGGGCCCATGGAGGATACAGGAAGCCTCAAGGCCCAGTGCAGAGATACTGCTCTGAGTCAGCTGACCCTCTCCCCCCAGTCCCTCACACACCTCGGGGGACAGACAGGGACCCCACCCCTTATAAGGAATCCCAGTGCTGCATGCCTTCGTCTACCCCGCTAAACCGCCACCTCGCCTTCCCGCACACCGCTGGCTGTCTTTTTGTACTCTTTCTTCCAGAGCTGCTCTGTCTGGTTTATTTACGGTTTACCCTTCCTTTCCTTTGGGAGTTTGTGACAAGTGAAGCCAGGGTTGGGGACCTGATGAAGAATGAGGAGGCATGTGACAGGTAGAGCGAGGGATACCAGTCCCTGAGGACGAATCATCCTTGCCCGCCAGACCAGAGAGAGCCCTGAAAGAGGAGGCTTGGATGAGGAGGATTGGGGTGTGTCTGGGCCTGGCACAGCACACTTGCTGTAACCATGCCCCACCAAAAAAGGAAGGCACCTCAAGACCCCAGGTGTGAGGGCACTGCCAAGCATTTGTGGCCTGTCACGTGAGGGGGAGAACTGAGTGTCCCCAAGAGAATTCTTAGCAGAATTCACAGCAGAAAAAAAAAAAAAAAGTCCCTTCTTGCTACTGCAGAAGTCCCCTGGGGACCTTGAGCCAGGGCACGACTCGGTGAAGATACAGAGTGAGCCCGAGGAGAACAGTGACTGGTGGGCAGTTGGAGAAGGGAGTAGAGGTGAGAGTCCATCATCCCTCCCTTCCTCAGGAAGCTAAAAATAAGAGTCTCTCTATACTGCCACCTCCCGCAGCTAAAAAGGTGGCAGGGGAGGACAAGCCCCTTCCAGACTCTCCCAGGAGCTTCCAGAACTCTGACCACAGGCTCTACGTGGAGGGAGTCCCTGGAGCCACACGTCTGGGCCCAGGGATCTAAGAAGACTCTTGCTTCGCTTGATGGTCAATGCAGGGCCTGAGCCCCAGACAGCCCCTCCCCCACAGCCTGCCTCAGGGACCTCAGGGGGCTGACAGCAGGCCATGGAGTGAAATCCCAGGGCCTCACAGTCCTCAGGAGATGGCTTTTCCCAACACCCACCTCCCCACCCAGCGGCTCTGCCTGTCCTGTGACCACGTGTATTACCGCAGCTTACAGCATCTCATTGAGGAAAAAGAAAACCTCACAATAAAACCACACCTCTCGAGTCTGTCCGTGTGTCCATCTCTGCTTCACTCCTCCGCAGTTCCCAGGCTGCCTCCTAGGCTGGCTGGACATCTCTAAAGAGACCCTTGGGACACCAACCCTTTGTCTCCCCTTGCCTTCTCCTCTCCCACCATCTGCCACCCCTCCTCCCAGGGACAGACCGCTGCATGCCCGGCTTTGGTACATTTGTCTAAATAAATGTCACCTCTTTGCTGACTCACCTGGCTGCTGTAACCGGCTCACCTGCCAACCTGTGAGCCGAGCCACATCGCCCTGGCTCTGGAACACTGAGCAGCTCAGGGAGCAAGCGCTGAGGTGTGTGGCTGCCTTTGTTTCTCAGCCCCGGTTGTTCTCCCAAAATCCCCATCTGCAATTGAGAGGGCAAGCCCTGGAGCACTGGCGGGGGAATCTGTGGTCACTGTCCATGTCATCAAGGTGAGAGGGCAGCCGTCCATCCTTCAACCCAGAAAGGACTGGGGACGAAGACTGTCCCACATGGGCGCCCATCCCTGCCTCCCTTCCCTGGAAGTAATGAATAAAATTAAACAAGCAGCAAGGGCCGCCCTGGGTTTGGGGCTAGATGGAGACCACAAGGTATAATGGGTTCCAACTGCTGAGAGCTGGTAAGCAGCCCCAGCCAGCCCGCCCTGCTTTGCCAAGGATGACGGGGAGGCGGCTGACTCATTTGCTATTTAGTACTGGGTAGAATGGTTTTCTCCGAGCATTTTTCTTAAAAGCTCAGATCTAAATTAATGCCACTTGCTCCCACTCTTCCTGTCACCTCTTGCCGACATCTTTGCCTTGTGTTGGCCTCTCTAGTGACCAAGCCCAAAGAAGCAGGAGAAGTCCACCACCAGGACGACAGCTCCCCATCACAAACCATGAGGCGACAGGCCAGTTGTGGCCAGTCTGGAGAACCCAGACCTGTGAGACCCAGGCTCCTTGCACTATGCTTCCTTGGAGCAGCAAGTGCCATGCCAAGGAAAGAAGTGCTGGTGAGAAGAGGCTTGGGGGGCTCCAACACCAGGGAGGGCTGAGAACCCCACCCTTAGGGCAGTAAGAGGTCAAGCTCCAAGGTCTTTCTAGAAGGACTTGGGAGGCCATGTGGGAAGCTGCAACTGAGGCCAATAGGAGACATGGCACCTGTGTGATGCCTCCTGTGTGGCCTTTGTCACACCTCGCATCGTTTCCCTGATAAGCCTAACAGCCACACTCTGAGACCCATGCCCAGGAGCTGGGGTGCCTGTGCAATCATCAGGGGAGCAGACTTTGAGGCAGGGATTGGAAGGGTCAGAAGCCACAGAGGCCAGCAGAGGACCACAGACTACAGGAAAGCAGGAAAGGAGATTGGTAACAGCCACCAGGCCTCACGACCTAAATCACCCCAGAAAGGCCATGCTTGGGCAACAGGGCTTTCAGCAGCAGGCCACAAAAGCCATGGGTCCCCCTCTGGTCCAGTTAGCAGGTCTTGTGGAGGCTGTGGGACATCTGTGGTGACTTGGGTATTTTTGTAGGGGGGTGGCAGTATTGGAGTTTGAACTCAGGGGCTCCCAGTTGCTAAGCCACACCCCAGCCCTTTTTGCTTTAGTTTATTTTTCAGGTAGGAGCTCACACTTTTGCCCAGGACCAGCCTTGGACCTCCATGCTCCTACTTCTGCCTCCTGAGTAGCTGGGATTATAGACAGGAGCCACCACACCTGACTTTTTTTTTTTTTTTGGCTGTACTAGGATTTGAACTCGGGGCTTTGTGCTTGCTAGGCAAGTGCTCTACCACTTAAACCATATCTTCAAGTCCTTTTTTCTCTGGTTATTTTGGAGGTAGGATCTCACTTTTTGCTCAGGCCAGCCTGGATCACAATCTTCCTATTTTAAGCTTCCTGCCACTGCTGGAATGACAGGTACATGCCACCATGTGCAGCTTTTTCCATTGAGGTGGGATCTCATAAACTTTTTTATCTGGACTGCTCTGGAACCTAATCCTCCTGATCTCAGCCTCTCATAGCTTAGGATGACGGACATGCACCACTGTGCTCAGCTGTTGGTTGAGATGGAGCATGTGAATTCCCTGTCTGGACTGACCTGGAACCACCATCCTTGTGATCTCAACCTTCCAAGTAGCTAGGATTACAGGCATGAGGCACTGGCACCCAGCCAGGCTTGTTCTTTGAAACGGGGGTCTAACTTTTTTTTTCTTTTTTTTGGCCTGGGCTGGCCTGAAATCACTTTATACCCATCTCCACCTCCTGAATAGCTGGAGTTACAGGCATGTGCCACCATGACTTGGGTATTTACAAAGGGCTGGGCTCAGCCCTGACTCTCATCCACACGCCCAAGACCCTCCCCTCCATCTCCCCCTCTCACGGCCCTTTACCTCTCTCCCATCTCACCCTCTACCTTAAGGCCTAGAATTCTTGCTCGAGTGCATCAGAGGGCCCTCTGTGCACCCCTGCTTCTGGGCTGGGTTATCCACTGAGACAGATGACAGCTGCACAGGACCCCGTGGTAAGGGTCTCTGACATGCAGGAACCCCGGAGCTATGGCGACCCTCATTGACCAACAGAGAAATCTTCATAGCATCAGGGACCTGGTGCATCTTCCTGCCTCCCTCCTCAGCACGACGTCCAGCCCTGCATGAACTTGCAGCTTTTGTGCAGGAAGGGCATACCTGTCTATGTGTAAAAGAGGCAAAGCAGAGCCTGGCAGTGGGCGTGGCCTTGTGGGCGTAGCCAGGAGGAGACCATGGCCAATCAGGGCTGCAGTAAAGCAATTTCCTGAATTCCGTGGGAACTTGGACTAAAAGACCCTGGTTACACTCTTCAGAGCTTCCTTTCAATGGTTCCTAAAATAAGATGGCTGGGCTGGCATCGTTTAATTGTACGACTAACGTTAAGCACGAAATCTGCCCAGTTCAGTGTTAGATAAAAAGACAGAGATCCTGGCTGAAGGAGTCCCCAGTGTGAGGAATTGATTTCAGTTCTGTGAGGCCAGAAAGCTAAGGTAAACACCACTGGATGGGTGGGGGGGGAGGTCCCCAACATGCCTTCTCCCCTTCTTTCTCAGCAGTGGGACCCACACATTAGAAGTAGAATATGTGGCCCAGAATGAAGACCAAATCCTTATAGCAGGATGTGCCTATGTGGCTAAGTTCTGTCCAATGGAACGTAAGCATACACATACACACACAAATGTGTCATTTCTATGAAATGCTCTAAAATGGAGACAATGTGCTTTTCTCCACCCCTCATGCCAGCTGGAACGTTCAGTTAATGGCTGGAACTGGAGCAACCACCTTGGACTTAAGAGATAGCAAGTTGGGTGTCACAAATACCAAAGCACAACAGGAACCTGGGTTCCTGGTGATGATGGAGTTGCCATAAAAGCTGTGGACAACTTTGCTGAAGCTAAACCTAAAGTTACCTTAAAAAGAAGCCATTACAGAACACCACCGAACTGTATATTTAAAAACTGGTATGATTGTAGATTTTAATTAAAAAAAAAAAAGCTCAAAGTCAAATTCCTAGAGACAACAAGTAGAATGATGGTTGTCAGGGGCTGGGGGAGGATGGGATGGGGAGTCATTTTTCAGCTAGAGTTTTAGTTTTGTAAGATGAAAAGAGTTCTGTGGATGAACTGTGGTGATGGTAACACAAAAATGTGAAGGTATTTAATGCCACTAAACTATACTCTTAAGAGTGTTAAGGAAGAGTATTTTATGTTAAGTGTTAAGTGTATTTTAACCACAATTAAAGAGAAGCAAAAGCCAGGTGCCGGTGGCTCACGCTTGTAAGGTACTTGGGAGGCTGATTGGGAGGATCACAGTTTGAGGCCAGCCTGGGCAAATAGTTCATGAGATCTCATCTCCAAAATAACAGGGCAAAATGGACAGAGATGTGGCTTTGCAAGCATTAAGCTCTGAGTTCAAATCCCAGTCCCAGTGAATTTCATTGAATGTAAATCATACCTTGCCCACTGCTATGAGCAAGGCTCCTTGCTCAGGCCAAAAGGCTCCCCTGGGAGGAGCCATGAGTCAGCAGGCTCTACAATTTTGCAAGTTGATTACAAAGAATGAAATTTTATTTTATTTCTTCTATGTCCTGCAAAATTTAGTCATAAGAATAGATTAGCGAATGGTACAGACAATTCCTGCCTCTATGCTGTGGTTTGGATCAGTGTCCCCCAAAGGCCCAGGTGCTGAAGGCTTGGTCCCCAGGTCCTGGTGCTATAGGAGGTGATGGAACCTTTAGGGGTGGGGCCTACTGGGAGGAAGTGCCCTTGGAGGGAACATAGGGACCCTGCCCCCTTCCTATCTCTCTCCTTGCCTCCCTGTTGCCACATGCTCCCAACATGATGCTGTCTTGCCACAGGCCCAAAGCAACAGACCCAAATGACCTTCAACCTAAATCTCTAGCACCAAGAGTCTGAATAAACCTTTCCCCCTTACAAGTCATTTATCTCAGGTAATTATTTTGTCACAGTGACAAAACGCTAACACTCCCTATAAAACTTAAATTCTAAAGCAAGTACACCAATAAACCCAGTCATTACAACTTGGGATCATTTACACATAGAAAGCAACAAAGATGAATGGGTGACGCTCTAGTTAGGACAGAGGTCACTGTAAAGTGTCAATGGTGTTCTTTCTGTGAGCAGCAGGGGAGTGCTAAAGGATTTCCTCTAACCCTGTATTTACAGGACTCCTCTGACTAGAGGAGCATTGCAGTGCTCCCAAAAGAGATGGTAGCAGCATGAATGGAAGTTGCAGTAGGAAAAATAAAAAGAAGTGGTGACTTAGAGAGACATTTGGAGCTACAACAGAGAAGACTGGCAAAATCTGAATAAAGTCTGTGAGTTTTCCCAGCTTTGCTATTGTACAACAGTTACACAGACATTTTCATTGGGGAAACTAGATGCAGGGGACATGAGGCCCCTAATCCCGTGCCTCAAGGATACAGGCAGCACCTCTTGTGCTGTTTTTGTAATTTCTTATAAATTTTTGTACACAGGTGAGGCAAGCTAAAATTAAGGAAAGTTTGGGACTCATAGAAACTTAATATTACCTTTCAGATTGACCACACTCAGGTTACCTGGTCCAGGAACCACCCGTGCCCCTTCCCACTCATTGATTATGGGATAGGATTGGAGCTACAACAGAGAAGACTGGCAAAATCTGAATAAAGTCTGTGATTTTACCCAGCTTTGCTATTGTACAGACAGTACACAGACATTTTCATTGGGGAAATAAAGCAGGGGACATGAGGCCCCTATCCCGTGCTCAAGGATACAGGCAGCACCTCTTGTGCTGTTTTGTAATTTCTTATAAATTTTGTACACAGGTTGAGGCAAGCTAAAATTAAGGAAAGTTTGGGACTCATAGAAACTTAATATTACCTTTCAGATTGACCACACTCAGGTTACCTGGTCCAGGAACCACCCGTGCCCCTTCCCACTCATTGATTATGGGATAGGATGGGAATCACCTGGCTCTGACCTTGCCATGGGTTAGCATAGGTTTTTGTTTTGTTTTGTTTTGTTTTGTTTTTTATTATTCATATGTGCATACAAGGCTTGGGCCTTTCTCCCCCTGCCCCACCCATCCCTTACAACATCCGCCCCCTCTCCCCCACCCCTCAATACCCAGCAGAACTATTTTGCCCTTATCCTAATTTTGTTGTAGAGAGAGTAAAGCAATAATAGGAAGGAACAAGGGTTTTACGGTGGATAAGATAGCTATACAGGGCATTCACTACAATTAATTTCCTGTGCCTGTGTGTTACCTTCTAGGTTAATTCTTTTGATCACCTTCTCTAGTTCCTGGTCCCTTTTCTATTGGCCCAGTT